ATTCAGAATGGCTTAGATCCTCTTGGGATACATAGTATCTAATATATTATAGATACCGCAGAGCTAGTTTAAGTGGTTAGGTATTGTGGTGATATTAGATTAGATCTGTATGAATTAATGAACAGAATGTTTAAATAGATAACTCACAGGTAGGTTACAGGTATGGCAGCATAGTGTAGAACCAATCAGGTGGTCTAATCGCCTGTGCAATAGACTACTTAAATTAGACAATGACTAAAGTTGTACGTGTAGCTTATTGTACACTCTTCATGTAATTACAAATAGTAGGGACTATCAATATATATCCTATATGCAATTCTAATAAAATTCCTTCAGCAATATAAGCCACCTTAATAACAAAAAAAAAAAACAATTAGAATTTCAAGATTTTGTAGCATTTCGTAAAATACAGAATATTATCATCTCTGATTCATATATACAATATTTAAATAATTAATATTTATTATCTGATGGTAAATATTTTTTAAATAATTAATTGATATTATAGTAAGTATAAATTGTATTACATTAAATTAAAATATATATATATAAATACTACTATATTAATGATAATTCTATAATTTTGCTTATTACTATGGCTAATATTACAACTCATTCTAAGACTTGACAAACTACTTTATCATTTACAAATAATGATAATTCTAATATACTAGATATTTCTGAAGAAAATGAAGATTATTATTCTAATAGTGATTATATTAGTATTGAAAATGAGCTTGATGATATATTAGAAAAACATACTATCTATAGATCTAATACAGAATTAGAATCTTTTAATAATAATTCTGATTTAATTACTTTATCATCAAATATTAATCATAATTCTGAAGAATGAAATTTACCTGTTTCTACAAAAAAAAAGAAAAAAAAGAACAACAAAAACTAAGCCAAAAACTAGTTATATTTGGAATTATTTTAAAGAAACTTTACCTAATATTACTACTTGTCAATTAGTAGGTTGTGGACAAATACTTGCTTATCATCATAGTACTACTACTATGAAAACACATCTCTCAATTCATCATCATATTACAAAAGCTACTGTTGAAAAAAGTCAAGATTCTTCTACTTTTTAACAATTATT